ACACATGAAAGGTTAGGAATATTTGCTGCTATACTCTCGATTTTTATTTTATTTCTTTGAAAATGAACTGTATTCTTCTCTTTTACTTATGGGGTGCATTCGATTTGGACTTTTGAAAACTTTCATGAACTTTTTTAAGTGACAACTTTTGTGGATTTCGCAAATTTTATTTATAGATTTATATGGAATTAGTGGAAGTCTTTTGTAGATTTGTATACACTTTGATTTAAAAATTTTATAGGCTTTTGTAGAGTTCAAAAGACTTTTGAAATTTTTCATTTGAAATAAAATTCACATGGATCTAATATAATAGTGTAAAATTCTCACGTACGAAATATTGATTCCCACAATTTCCCTCACGTACGAAGTATTGATTCCTACAATTCCCCTCGCCGTATAATTAAAAAATATATTTTAAAAAGAATAAAAAAATTAAAATCTTAACTAAATAAATAATCATCAATAAAAAATATATTAAATAATATGAACATAATATACCTTTAAAGAATAAATAAAAATTTAATATATTTAAATTTAATTATAATTTAGTCCATATAAAATTTTATAATTAAATTAAAAATAGATATTTTCATAAAAAATGAATGAAAAAGAAAAAAAATTATAAGAATTCAATTAATTGTTTTTTATCTTAGAAATTAGAGAAAAGAAAAATAGAAACAAATATAATCAATGAGAAAAATAAATTTTAATCATAACTCTAATATTCATAGAAGGAAAAGGGAAAGAGAAATATTTAATTGTGATTAGTGAGAAACAAGTTTTGAAATTTTATTCTAGTACTTTTTACTTAAAAGTTAAAGTCATTAGAATTTAAATGAGGGCTGGATCTCGAATCAAATTCCAATCAAATTGAGCGGTTCTTCTTAAATTAAATATTCGAATGAGTATCTGAATTGAAAATCAACGGGTTTGATTCGTTTTTCAATTCTAAATCAATAACCGAAAAATCGAATAATGACCGAATCTCACTAATTTTTAAATTAATTTATTTTAAATTAGTCAAATTATTTTTTTTTCTAAATAAATTTGTCAACTAGTATTTAGTTCAAACAAAAGAAAAAATGATTTTCTTATTTCTAATTTTCAGTTCAAAGCCAACTTAATCAAATTGACCTAATTTTTATCCATATTTGTTACTCTACCGTAATGTCATTTTTACTGTTATGGAAAATCGAATTGAAGCTCGATAACGCTTATTTTAATTATTTTGAGCTTGTTATTTTCCTCTTCCTGTAATTTTAGCAATCGAATCCATGAATAACTCAGCAAAGAGAGACTGAAAAAACACATAAGAGTGGACTATGTTATTTTATAAGAGTTAAGATTGAACATATCATTAGTTGAATTATTGTAACTTTATAAATATTAAAAAATTTAATTATAATACGGAACCTGAGAACCGAGTGGAACTGAACTCGAACGATTCCATAATTAAATTTGGACCCCACGGTTCCACTTAATAAATACTCAGAAGTTTCAGGTCCTATTCAGTTTTCATTAGAATCGAACCGAACTGGACAATGTTCAACCCTAATTTAAATACCCCAAAACTAACAAAAACTTCTAAAAAATTTTAATTAAATATACCGTGACTTTTAAACACATTTTAAAAGTTTATAAAAATCTCAATTGAATACACCAATATTTTTAGAGAGTCTAAAAAATCTACATCAATATCTCTGAACTTTTTAAATCCCCAAAAGTGATTAAAAGTCTAAATTGAGTACTCCCCTCTAAGTTCTAAAGAGCAGCTTAGGCAAGAAGTTGGCACAAAGCGCCTCTCTTTGCACTTTTTAATTTTTTTTGGCTTTTATTTATTTATTTTTGCCTAGGTGCGTGTTTTTACACTTTTTTTTTAATTATTAAATAATTTTTAAATTGATTTAAAAATTTAAAATAATATTAAAAAAAAAAAAGGTTTTTATGCCTAGGCCTCGTCTAGTCGAAGCTTGCCCTCCACGCTTCTCTACACTTTACACTATTTAGTATGCTACTTTTATTACATGTATAGATTAGAAACTCGCTAGTTAAACTAAAAATGACAAAAAGGCATTCTCCAATTATGTTAATTTAAGTCAATCCTCCGAAGTTTGCATAGTCCTTATTAATTTCTCAACTTGTATCCAATCTAGTAGCTCCAAATTCCACATCTACCATCTTGAACTTGCTTTCACCTACCACGAGCCATCAACCTTGTCCCCAAAACTCAAACTCATCACGTACCATTAGTAAGACACCCTTTTTGATTAGTAACACCGTAAAAGATCTTTGTAATGCAAAACGATTATGTTGTATAACAACCATTGAACTCTTCTTTGTCATGAAATTTAATCTCTACGCATCAATATAGGAAATCATCATATATAAAAGACCACTAGTTAGCCAAATAACACAAATTAATGTTATTTTATGTGGGTAAAAAAAATTCAAGGGGTTTCCCAACCTATGGTGAAATTGCATCAATGTTAGTTGGTCCCCATTTAGCCCCATTTTTTAAAAATTTACTTGTTTGTAAGTCCATTTTCAACCATAACTTTCTCCTTTGTTTGACCATCATTATTTTAAAACTCTTTTTTTAAGATACTCAATTTCAATTGCATGTTCATATTATAAAATATTTTGCTTGTAAATTTAAATTTTTTCAATTTTTTTTACCACATTCTTCTAAAAATCACTATTTAAAATGTTATTTTGATCAAATAATGACCATCAAACAGAGGCTTTATAGAACACACAAAAATTTTTTTCCCGATTTTTGAACAACATATTTCATTAAATTTTATCAAAATATACTAAAATCTAGCCTTTAGCCAAACCAAACAGAGGTTGATTTTTAATGTTAATAATAGGTTGCTATAACTCAAGTGTTTGTACAATTTAATATGTCCTATGATGTTGTTATATTTTTAATAGCCATTTACGTGCATGTTTGATTCTGATTTTTTACCCCAAGAAAGTAATTTTTTGATTATTATTTTTCTAAGTCAATCGTCAATTTTTACTTCTTTTCTTATAGGTGGGATATACTTTTCTCTCTAATAGTAAAAAAGATCAATTCTTATAATCACTATTGAACGAGTCTTATATTACAAATTTTTTTCTAATTTTAAAAGATTTTTTATTATAAAAATGTCAAATCCTCTACTAACCTTTTGAACTTAATTATTTCAAATTTACCCATATGTCAATTGTACTAAACGACTATCTGGTCAGTGGTTCCCATTATTCCACGTTATAATGAGAGGAATAATAATTTTTTGGAGAATGTGTAGTTAAAAAAAAGGAAAAATTTTGAATTTACGTGTAATATTATTTTATTGAAGAATATGTTGTTGATAAGAAGAAATAGAAAAATGAAATATAATATAATGAAAAATAATGGAAGTCAAACGAGATTTAAGTTTTACAACTCAAAAGTTTGTCATCTTAACGATTTAAAAATTCAAATAAACATTAAGTGTATGTCCTTGCTCCTTCTCCACGCCAACAGCACACTTGTGACTCACCTAAATTTAGGGCCTGTTTGGTAGTGGGTATGAGAATTGATTTTTTGATCGTTAGATAGAAAAGTAGGCCCACCTGTAAGTAAGGAAGTAAAAAATGACGGTTAAAATAGTGAAATAACGATAAAAAAATATTTTTTTGGGTGAAAATTACTATCAAATGGGGACTTAAGTAATTTCTTTACTATTCGAGATAGCTTGAAACAACACATGGCTCTTGCATTTTAGTTATTAAAGCTTTAAATTTTATTTAGTTATCACACATACACATATCATGATATGAAAATGCGCTTCAACTCGAAATTACGTGCCACCTAAATTAAACTGATGCTTAGCATCAATAATAATACTAAATAACATTACTTTTTTCAAATGTATTAAGTTATGAGTATATAATTACTAGTTTTCTCACCCTTGGTACAAAATTTAAGAGCAAATTGCTCACATGTCACTTTCTTTGAAATACATTATGACCTTTTAGCCAAGAGCAAACTCATTTTACAATAATAATGTTATTAGAAGGTGTTTGATAGGAATTAAAATTAAATTTTTAATAGATTGTGATAAAAAAAATTAAATGCGTGGTTGAAAAGTTCTGAGACCATGAAAAATGTTATTAATATTGATTGCGTGACTTCAACTTAGATTAAAATCAAATTTAATCCATACCAAAGGGGGTGGAAGTCTAATATTTCTAAATTACCATGATTAACTCCACCTAGTGAACTCGTTGGAAGAAACGAGATAAATAATCAAGTACCACAAGAAAATTGGAAACATTCTTAAGAGCTCACCTAACTTGCGGATTTGTTTCATGTTGGTCACCCAACTTCAATTTATTTAATTTCAATCATCCAATTTATGACTTTGTACCAGTTTGATTATTTCACCTTTTGATTGGGATCAAAACCAACGACTAGTTAGGTAGCAAAATGCGTCATCTTGTACTTGTGGTTTTTAAATAAATATTTTTACCATAAAATACAACTCAGATTGAAACTCGAAATTGAGTACACCCATTTTAATAGAAATTACTTGTCTCAATAGGTCTCGTTCAAAAGTTGTGAATTAACAATTGTAAACTTGTCTTTCTTTGACTTTTAATTTGATTGGCAATGCAACATAAATGTAAATGAATTCATTGGAAAAACGATAAAATTTAAAGTAATAAGTCTATATAGAGGTAACTTTAAATTTATTAAGTAATTTTGAAATTATATTTAGCCTCGTTATTCTCAAAATTCATATTTTCAAAACTAATTTCAATCAAACATCCTTCAATAGAATAATTTTACACGTAAACTCAATTTTTTCTATTTTTTAACGACAAAATTTTCAAAAAATTACTGTTCGAAAATACAATATCCTCCAAAAATGGGACTCCAAGGGGCTTAATAAAAAACAAAATAAAGCTAATTATTTCTTTAATTACCCACTAATAATTATGATAGTCAGCGTCAGCTAAGTTAAAATAGAGTCAAAGCCTCCCTCTATGCTCTTTCTCTCTCTAAACCTTCGTCTCTCTATATCTATGCACATAGGCATACATCGATACGTACACAAAACGCATGTATCTATAACATTTCGTTAAATTTCGATTCGCACTCCCAATTTTAATCCCTAGATTTCTCCAATTTCAATTTGAATCTCAATACCTCTTTTTCCATACCTCAATTGTCTCACTCTAATAGTTAATTTAAGTTTTCCTGCGAAAAACCCTAGCTTTCCCTTTTTTGCTTCAGAGCCCTTCTATTGAACCCTAGACTAAATCTTTGACAACTGAACTTCGCAATCGCAACTCATTGTCTGTACAGATTGGGTAAATCTTGTGCTTTTTTTTTTCAGGTATTCTGTGATTGATGGAATTATCAAGTCACTCTGTAATTAATATTTATTTTGAATTGTTTTTCGAGTTTTGTTGTATTTTATGTAAATTCGGGTGATAGGAGTTTATGGGATTCACTCGATTGAGCTTTTGTTTGTTTAAGCCACTGATAAGAGAAAGAAAGAAAGAAAGAAATGTTTGCCTTTTGGACTCTCCTCTTGATCATTTTAGATGTGATGATCTTTTGAAGTATTTAATGTTCCTGGTTAAGTTGGCAATCGAGAATTTAGGATTGATTTTTGGTTTTGCACGTCGGTCCCAGTTAGAAGAAAAGTTCTCATGTAGTTTTATTTCAATGTGAACTCAATTTAAATGATCAATGTGAAACGTGTTGGTTCATTTTACAAAGTGAAAAGAATTTTGACATTTTTTTTACACTGGTAGAATATCGCATTGGTAACATGTGTTGTCTGTTGGGGAAAATATGCCATTCTTATGATCAGAATGAAACCATGCATTTAATCTTTAATGTATGTTTATGGGATATTAAGTTGTCATCGTCCATGCTGTAAGGAATGGGGTTTTGTAATTTTATGCTGTAATAGAGCTAATATTATGTTTACAGTTAATGCTTGTTAAAATTATCTCTGCCTGAAACATAGATTAGTGGTTATCTTGATTTTTCATTAAAGACAGGTTACACGTGGTGGTAAAACTGATATTCGGTGTTAAGTGCATTTTCCATTTGTAATTCAAAGCCTAGCTTGCTGATTATGATCACAATTGTTGAAAAAAGCATCCCTAAAATAGAACTAAACATGAGATTTTGTATATTTATTTCTATTCTTTAATTTGGTGTAATCTGCATAATAAAGAAATCTTATAAAGCAGCTATTTTTTTTCTGTTTATTTACCTGTTCGTTTGAATTTGCTTCCAATTGAAGCTTAATTTTCAAGAATGCACTGATTTGATTTGAAAACTTCTTTTTATGCTGTTTGAATTTGTTGCCATTTTAAGTTTAGTTCTCAATGAATATATGGAATATGAAGTCTATTTTATTAATAATTCATCATGATATGCCTGTTCACTGTTTTTCTGTCTACGATGCTGGCATACTATTATTTTGAAGTCAAATACTTGATTATTATGTCAAATTTTGTTTTAGAAACATGAGCTTTCTTATGTTTTATTATACTTGTGATGCTGTGTAAAACTGATGGATACAAGTGAACAGTATTCGATACATCAATTATTTGACACGATTTGATCTAGTACTTGCTACCAAGATTATATGTGGTTTTTAACACGATCTTTGACTGTGGTGCTTTGTGGGCAGTTTTCTTATTACTGTTAGTTATGCTAAGCTCTGTCACTGTTTGCTGTTAATTGCATTGGATTTTGGTAATTTCTAACAAAACTATCACCACAGATTGACTTGCTTATGCTCTATTGTGGCTCAATGCTGGAGGCAGCATGCAGATAATATTTTGGAGAGATGCAAAGGTATCATGCTGGCAGCTGCACTAGTGCAGTTAATAACGGTTCAATTGGTGGGATACCAGCTAGGGATACATCCCGAGCAGAGTCATCTGTTGTTCCACCACCTGCCAACTTCTCTCTAAACTCGAGGTAGCTTGTTGTCACACACCATGGTTCGTTTTAAATGCACGTAAGAGTGCTGTGGTGTTTTTAGTAGGTTCACAATGTACCCCAAGGGTTAAACAATTGTCTCTTTGTTTGGTCTGGCCATGGATTTTTAATAGTTAGTTTGATGCCACCAAGCTTTCTTCATCAGTTTATGGTAGGTGCCTTTTGAGTATTAAAATACTGATACTTCATAAATTCAATGTTAGTTTGTTTTTAAGACATTTCCCTTTGTCTTCATAGTGAACACTTCTCTTTTCTTCTTATAAACCATTTCGACATGAGAAAGGAAAAGCCTTAATAGGCCGAGATTTATGTGGCTTTATAACATATTCGGAGAATACAAAATCAGACTTGAAAAAACAACGGTGTTCAAATTTTAGGTATCAGGATGTTGCCACTTATTGATGTCGAAGTGGTGATACAAAATGACCACCAAAAAGAAGTAGATAAGGAAATCAAGAGTTCAAATCTTCATTTGTGTTGCCATATCTCTCATGACCGGTGACCCTACTTGTGGGTGTATGAGAGGTTATTTTTGCCCACTCTTTTTAGTTCAATTATAGGTTTATGTTCATTTCTCTCTCTCTCTCTCACATACAGACATGAGAATGTGTTTACGACCAACACAGCTACCACCAATATCTCCATGTGCCACCCACTCTCTTGCTACCTTAACCACCACCACGACACCCCTAGTTTCCAGCAAGGTTTTTCCAAACCTATCAACAACTCATTGTCAAAGATCACTACCTAAAGTGGAATGTAATTATTAAATGAGCTTGTAGGATTGTTTTGTGTCCAAAAATTTGTAGATAATGTTAACTTACTACATTCTTGTTATAAGATACTAAACCAGTTTACTATTACTACTTTTTACAGCAATGATTTACCTAATAAATTCATTCATATTTCTAATAATTAAGCTTGACAATTGGAATACGTTTTTCTGTGGATTTTTTTTCCCCCAGAATTTTGTTGATAACAGTATTATGAAATGTTGAATGACTCTACTAGCAATATTTTGTGTATCTTCTACCGTGAGCATGCTTATTCACTTTTTTTTGGTCATTACAAGGATATATATATAAATTTTTATTTTCCTGAAAAAATCTATCCCTATAGAAAATTCTCATTCTGTCTCATTCCTCTTCTTCTCACTCTCCCTTCTCCTTTGCGCCTATTTGTTTCTCCCCCTTCCCTACTAAGTACTAGGCATAAAATCATAGCTAGATTGTCTTCGTCATTTCACCTGTAAGCAGTGTGTTATTCTTATTACTGCAGGCGGTCATCACAGCTGACAACATACAAGTTGAGGTGTGATAAAGAATCGTTGAATTCCCGGTAATTGATGTTAGCCAATAGTTTTTATTTTATTAACAAATTGTTGAGTTTCTTTTGCATATTCTTTTAGAAGCAGTCATCCCTTCTTCGTCTTCTTCTTATATATATATATATATATATATATATTTTTTTTTTTTTCCTTTTTTTGGGTAATTTCCTCTCTACTATAACTATTGGACAAAGATTGAAATGTTGGTGATTTATTTCCACAGCCCGTCAAGCAACCCAGTATTGTATCTTAAATTGGTGTCATTTGACCGTATTATTGCTTTTATCTCACTTTTATTTGGTAATACTCATTTCCAGACTTGGGCCCCCTGACTTTCATCCGCAGACTCCCAATTGTCCCGAAGAGACACTTACCAGGGAGTATGTGCAATCTGGTTACAGGGAGACAGTTGAAGGGCTTGAGGTAGTCCGACAGGAATCTGATCAATTTTTGTGTAATGTCTGTTTCTTATTTTATTTTCGATATATATTTTATTTCCATCTTGGACTTGAAATCAGGAAGCTAGAGAGATTACATTATCACAAGTTCAGACTTTCACAAAACCTGTCATCGTCAATTGCAAAGAGGTATGTAGTAAATATGAATTGGATGGGATCTTTTGATACTTGTTGTACATTGCAATGACTTACAAGTTGTCTTTAGCTTGTGGAAAAATATGCTCCTGTTGTGTTGCTGTTTGAGTCAAATCTCTTTTGCAGGCAATAAGAAAACGTCATAGAGCCATCAACGAGTCTCGTGCTCAAAAGCGCAAGGTGTTTCATTTCTTCCACTTTCCATTTGATAAGAGGAAAATCATTTATGTTTCTTAAATCTTATTTACTTTAATTGTAAATGGAGCAGTTTTTCCTACAATCCCACATCTATTTATAACCGTCCTGATAGTGCTAAACCAGCTAGATGGAAGCTTGTGAATTTGCTATAAGACTTGGCAACATTATTAGTTTGCTAGATGATCAAGCATGTTCAACTTATTTGTTACATGCATGTGAAGAACATGTAATGCACTTTTGCAAGGTCCAATCGTTTTGTATTGTAGAAGATGCCCCTGTTGTTAAGAGATCCTGGAAACTTGAATGAAGACTTTTTTTGGGGGATTTTCCAATATTAATGCGAACTGGAGGAGACAGTATCTTTGCTCAGACATGGAATTTTTTTTTTCCTTTTTTTTTTTTTTTTTTTTTTTTTAAATATATTGGCTACCAAATAAAGTTTGACTTGCTAAGTCTTTGTTGAGGTAGCCATTGATTTTTCATTAAAACCAAGCACCTGTTGGACTTGTCATTTTATGAAATGAGCTAAAAAAATCACACTAATTATTGAAAGGAGTAACAAAATGTATTTCACAGTTTGACATTGATATGCAAGGAAACCCATGGGGTCTGGCATTTGATGTTTCTGTATTGTCAGATTATGGAAATTGGCCAACATAATGAGAAAATTTTGTGTTGCGAGAGATTGGAGGAGGGTGCTTAGATGCAATAAAGTTGATGAAGACAAGTTGAGGGACGTGCCTACTTGGGGTTATAGTTAGAAGTTTTAACAGATGAAAGTTCTTTGTTTGTGGGTTAGACAGCTTACCAAGTTGAACCAGGAAAGAGATGAGCCGTGAGCTTTTGAGCAACCTGATGGACATCCCTCCCTAAACCTTCTTAAAAGAATAAGATAAAAATGGCAAATCCTTTCCATATCCATTAGCATTATACTCTGATTTCCGTCATGCAGACCTCATTTGATTTGTTATCATGGTTGGATGTGCACTTAAAGTTCTTAACACCTGCCCCCACCCCCAAATGGGGAAAAAGACACATGTATGGAGATACTTTTATATGTCTTTCTATTCCCCTAACAACAGATTATTAGAACATATTTGTGCTCCTATTCAGGGTTTATCACAACAACATAAAAGATTATGTTCATTGGCGGACCATGCTCCTCACGGTTACAGGAGGAAATCTCTTTTCGAAGTTCTAATCAGAAACAATGTTCCATTAGTGAGAGCAGCATGGTTTATCAAAGTAACATATCTTAATCAGGTATGGATTCTTTTTCAAGAAAACAAGCCGCAGCAATGCTTTACTCAACAGTTGGCTATTCTCAATATTGGAAGATAGTGGATTATGGTTTAATTATGCAGGTTCGCCCAGGCTCATCCAGCTCGTCATCAGGGGCACATGACAAAACTCAGTTTTCGCGGTCGGAGCTGTGGACTAAAGATATTATTGATTACTTGCAGTATCTCTTGGATGAATTTGTTATAAGAAACAATTCTCGTTCGAGTTTGCATATTCGTGATCGATCATCCCAAATGGTTTATGCTGGTTCAATGTTGGCAAAAGGTGATCAACTTTCAGCTGCCACTGATGGTGAGGGGCCCTCTCCATACTTCAAGTGGTGGTATGTGGTTCGGATTATTCAGTGGCAACATGCTGAAGGACTGCTCATTCCTTCTCTCATTATTGAATGGTTTCTTAGTCAACTGCAGGTATTGCTGTTGTATTCCTTTCCTGTATTTCGATTTCCTAGATAGAACGTAAAAATTGCTACATAATTTGTTTCATACAACATGTTTTTCTTTTGGGTTTTAACATTTGAAATCTCGTCATTCCAGGAAAAAGAATTGGCCAGTGTTCTGCAGTTGCTGTTGCCCATCATATATGGTTTTATAGAAACTGCTGTATTATGTCAGACCTATGTGCGAACTCTGGTGGGAATAGCTGTTCGTTTCATCAAAGAACCTTCTCCTGGTGGTTCTGATCTCGTTGATAATTCTCGCCGGGCTTATACTACTACTGCTCTTGTTGAGATGCTTCGATATTTAATTCAGGCCGTACCTGATACTTTTGTTGCTTTAGATTGTTTTCCTCTGCCCACATGTGTGGTGACTCATTTGGTAAATGATGGAAGTTCTTTATCAAAAACATCTGAGGATGCAAGGAAGAAGGGTGGTCCACCAGAAGTTACTGGTGTGCTTAGAGATAAAATACATGAAATTCAAATTGAGTCATTAGCCATCGATCGAGCTGTTTCATCGATCCAAAAACGTACTGAGACTCTTGCTAGGGCAGCCAAACCTGATCATCGCGGTCATAGCGTAGCTAAAGCCTCTCAGGTATTGGATAAAGTTCTTGTGCATGGAGATATTAGAGTTGCTTACCAATTACTCTATGGATACCTTTGGGATGGAACTGTTGCTGAATGTTGGATCGCTGAAGTGAGCCCTGGTTTGCGTTCATCTCTTAAGCATATTGGCAGAGTGACTTCATCATTAATTTGCTCCACGTTTTTCATTTGTGAGTGGGCAGCTTGTGATTTTAGAGATTTTCGTACTGTGCGTCCCCATGGCATGCAGTTTACTGGCACAAAAGACTTCTCTCAGATATACATAGCAATGAGGCTTTTAAAACAGAAGATGGGCGATATGCAAAATTTGAACAGTTTGAAACGGAAACATAAAGATTCTTCGGATACTTTTGAGAGCCCAAGCCCGTTGCATGATATTATCGTGTGTTGGATTGATCAACATGAAGTGCATAATAGAGAAGGTTTCAAGCGCCTTCAGCTTCTAGTAAGAGAATTCGTACGAGCTGGAATTTTTCATCCCCAGGTGTATGTGAGACAGCTAATCGTTAGTGGGATCATGGATGGGCATGGGTCTATGTCTGACCTGGAGAAGCGGAAGAGGCACCACAGAATCTTGAAGCAGTTGCATGGTCCATATGTTTTCAATCTTATGGAAGAAGCACAAATTATTGAACCATCAGTTGTTACAGAGGTGATGAATGTTTACTCAAATGAACGTCGGTTAGTGCTTCGTGGGCTCCTAGATCACAGTAGAAGTCCTGGTAGAAAAAGTTCAAATCAGAAACTAAAGCGTCATCCCAGTTCTGGAGGTGGAAGTGCAGATCAGTGGTCTATTCACTCAACATCCAACTTACAGTCCAAATATGTTGATGCTGATATTGAGATTGAAGAACTAAAGGCTTCAATAACTGCCCTGTTGCAATTTCCAAGTGATATATTGCCAATGGATACTGGACTTGACGAGTCGCAAGGGAGTGCTAAGAGGTCTAATGGGGCTAATAACAGGGTAGATTTAAGTGAAGAAACACCTGGATGTGAAGAATGCAGAAGTGTGAAGCGACAAAGATTAAGTGAAGAACGAATCTTTGACCTGAAGCTAATTCCAACAGATGAAGAAGAAACTTGGTGGGTAAGAAAGGGGATGAAATCCATGGAATCTTTTAAGGGAGATCCACCTCCCAAGCCAGCCAAGCTGCAGGGGTCAAGGGGTAGGCAAAAAACTGGCAGAAAGACTCAAAGCCTTGCACAATTAGCTGCTGCCAGGATTGAAGGTAGCCAGGGAGCATCGACAAGCCATGTATGTGAAAGCAGGATAGGCTGTCCACATCATAGGACTGGTTTTGAAGATGCTGCTAAATCAATGGATGGGATCAGAACTTCCCACTCTGGAGATGTTATTTCAATTGGAAAACTAATAAAGCAGATGCAGAATGGTGAGAAGAGGAAAGTAACTGTGTGGATGATATCTGTTGTAAAGCAGCTCGTTGAAGAGGCTGAAAAGACTACTGCCAAGGTTGGCCAATATGGTAGGCCTTTCCCAGCTGTTGATGATCGGAGCTCTGTTCCTTGGAAGCTCGGTGAAGATGAACTGTCATCAATTTTGTATTTGATGGATATTTGTAATGAATTGATTCCAGCAATCAAGTTTCTTCTCTGGTTGTTGCCAAAGGTCCTTAGCAGCCCTGGCTCTAGCTTCCACAGTGGTAGGAATATTCCGATGCTTCCCAGGAATGCAGAGAACTATGCATGCGATGTAGAAGAGGCATTTCTTTTATCATCTATACGAAGGTGCACCCTCAATGCGCTTATTCTTTAATTGTCACTTGTCTCATTTGCATCCATTGAGTCAATTTCATACCCTCTCTCTCTGTCTACCTTAAATTTTAATTCCTTCAGCATCCAAGTCATACTTATTTAATTAACTTTTTGGACGATAAAATGGCTATTGAGTGAAAAGAAATCTGAGCAACGAAACTCTCCATGTAAATCTCTGATTCTGAGTACTTAACCAGATTTTTTACATTCAATTTATTGGACTGTTTTCTTTGTCAAAGGCATGGTTCTGTCATCTTTAATAACACCTTGCTTTGCGTATTTATTTTTCAGAATAGCTGTCACCTTTACTACTATAAAATTAACTTTTAGATGTATTTCTTATTTTATGGTTTTACATGCTACTAAAAGATCTTTAAGGATGTTAACGTAACTTGGAGGAAAGTATTAAAGATTTTGGCCTGAAGATAACGGTATGTTTTGTATATAGGGGAAGAGGAGAAAAAGAAGTGGAAAAAATGAACATTTAGGGGAAAATGGATTTTAAGTTTTTATTCCTGGTTTGAATTGCTAGGTAGAGGAAAATAATGAGAGATCTTAACTTCTAATTTCTCAACTCCCAATCACAATATTTTTTAGTCCATGTCACTTTGTATACTCTCCTCCCATTTTCTCTCTGAAACAAACACAATGTCAAAGCAGATGGTGATTCTGGAACTACTTTTTCATTTTCATTTTCATTTCATTTCTGTCTGAGGGGTAGGGAGGAGCAGTTTTCCTAGATGTCTAAAGATAACTGCTGGGCTCCTACCTTTGTTAGAAGGGGAAATGCACGCTTTTGACTAAACTTGGTTGGATGGTGTGTGGATCTTGGAGTATGTTTCAAGCGTAATATTCAGCTAGAACCATTCAGCAGCTTTTTTTTGAGTATACTATCATTTTATCGAATTTTGTTCACTTCTCTAAGGGACGGTACTGAGTCATATACCATCATTGCAGTTCTTTTACTGGGTCAAGTCTATAATGATGATCAGTGCTTTTACAGTCTACAAGGTTTTTCAAGACGACAACTAATAATTGATCAGATATGCCTGCTCTTTTGATTACCAGTACAATTGATGAGTCAGTCAGGTCATACATCATGTTACTCATGTATTTATTGCTTTGGTCAGGTATGAAAATGTGATTGTTGCAGCTGATCTTATTCCTGAAACCTTGTCTGCCTCAATGCATCGGACAGCCACTGTCATGACATCTAATGGCCGAGTTTCCAGTTCACCAGCCTTTGTTTATGCTCGTTACCTCTTAAAGAAGTATAGCAATGTGGCTAGTGTTATTGAATGGGAAAAGACTTTCAAGTCTACTTGTGATAAGAGACTTAGTTCTGAGCTTGAATCTGGTAGATCTGTAGAAGGGGATTATGGCTTTCCCCTTGGAGCCCCAGCTGGAGTGGAAGATCTTGATGATTACTTCCGTCAAAAGATAAATGGAGGTAGAGTATCTAGAGTTGGTTTGAGCATGAAAGATATAGTGCAAAGACACATGGATGAAGCTTTCAATTATTTTCATAACAAAGAGAAGAAGCTTTTTGGACCTGGTATGAATAAAAATCCTAGCATGGAAAAGCGAGATGATGGCTATCGGATAGCTCAAAAAATAGTAATTGGATTGATGGACTGCATGAGACAAACTGGTGGTGCTGCTCAGGAAGGTGATCCTTCTTTGGTGTCTTCTGCTATTGCTGCAATTATTAATAATCTTGGACTTGTTATAGCAAAAATTCCTGATTTCACCACGGTCAATCACTTAAATAGCCCATCACCTTCTGGGTCATTGCAATTTGCTCGACGCATTTTACGCATTCATATCACTTGCTTATGCATATTAAAGGAAGCACTTGGAGAGCGTCACAGTCGTGTCTTTGACGTTGCTCTTGCAGCGGAAGCTTCTTCTGCTCTTATGCAAGCTTCTGCCCCAGGAAAGGCTCCGCGTAGTCAGTTTCACCTGTCTTCTGATTCTCACGATTCTAATGCAAATTCACCAAATGAATTTCTAAACCATTCCACTAAACCAGTTATTGGAAGGGCTGCAAAAATAACAGCAGCTGTTGCTGCACTTGTGATCGGGGCTATTCTTCAGGGAGTTGCAAGCCTGGAGAGAATGGTTATTCTCTTTAGATTGAAGGAAGGGCTTGATCTAATTCAGTTTGCAAGGAGTGTGAAATCTACCGCAAATGGAAATGCACGTTCTATGGGGTATTCAAAACTGGATAATTTAATTGAAGTTTCTGTGATCTGGTTTAGAGTGCTTGTGGGGAATTGCAGGACAATTTCTGATGGATTCATTGTGGACCTCCTAGGTGAAGCTTCAATTGTAGCTCTATCTAGAATGCAGCGGTCACTACCTTTGAATTTGGTCTTTCCGCCTGCTTATTCCATATTTGCATTTGTGATATGGAGGCCATTCATTCTTAATGCTAGCAGCGGACAACGTGAAGATATCCATCAATTGTATCAATCCATGGCATTAGGCATTGGTGATGCCATAAAGCACCTGCCTTTTCGTGAAATATGTCTAAGAGACACTCATGGTTTTTATGATCTTGTAGCAGCAGATACTCTTGATTATGAATTTGCATCTATAGTAGAATCTACCACTTTAGACACCAATTTGAAAGCCTCGGCGTTTGTCCCTCTTCGTGCTAGACTATTTCTAGAAGCCCTTATTGATTGTAGAATGCCACAGCCAATGTTCAAGCAGGACGATGGTAATTGGACATTCAGTCTAGGGGAGTCAAAAAGCCAACGTGCAGACAATGTGAAAAAGCTTCTGGATAAGCTTGTACATGTTCTAGATACTTTGCAACCTGCTAGGTTTCATTGGCAGTGGGTTGAACTCAGGCTTATCCTAAATGAACAGGCTATCATTGAAAAGATGGAGAACCCTGATATTTCCTTAATTGAGGCTATAAGATCTCTCTCGCCAAATCCTGATAACATTTCTGATAATGAAAGCAACTTCATTCAGATTATTCTCACCAGGTTATTAGTCAGGCCTGATGCTGCTCCTTTGTTCTCTGAGGCTGTACATCTCTTGGGGAGGTCTCTTGAGGATTCAATGCTGTTACAAGCAAAATGGTTGCTCAGAGGCCAGAATGTACTTTATGGCAGGAAATCTATTCGGCAGAAGATTATAAATATTGCTGAGCCCAAAAAGCTGTGTCTGAAGGCCCAAAACTGGAAGCCGTGGGGTTGGTGTCCTTCCAGTATCAATCCAGTTACAGAAAAGGGTGATAAATTGAAATCTGAAGCAGCTGCCCTTGAAGAAGGCGAGGTAGTTGATGAAGGGAGTGACTTTGGCCATTCTTGGAAAGGATCTGGTCAAGTTGTGGATGTTGAGGGATTCATTGTCAGTCAGCAACATGTGACTGAGAAAGCTCTGATCGAACTAGTTCTTCCGTGCGTGGATCGAGGTTCTGATGAATCACGAAGTAATTTTGCAAGTGAAATGATCAAGCAGGTAAGTAATATCGAGCAGCAAATAAACGCAGTTACTCGTGGAGCTGGTAAGCCAGCTGAAGCACCTGCTTCTGGGGTTGGAAGTCCTGCCAATAAAAGTAACACCCGGAAGGGTGGGAAAGGTGGCAGTCCTGGATTACCTAAACAATCAACTGGATCAACTGACACTGTGCCACCTTCTCCTCCAGCATTGCGAGCCTCCATCACTTTGCGACTGCAGTTCCTACTGAGATTACTCCCTATTATTTGTGCAGACAGGTATTTTACTTTCCACTTCACATCTGTCCGCTTACATGTTTTTCCTTTTCGGAGAATGTTTATGTTAATGACTTGAAGTGTTACTGGTCAATACTCGGTTTCGGTTGTGTAGCATGCCTGATATAAAACATTTTCTGCAAGTACATTTTCAATATGTCAGAGATCTGTTGCTTGATAATGTATTCTCTGAAGAAGAATGATGATGTAGACGATTCTACAGTCATCCTTAAACTTGGTTTGAATCTCTTTATTCACCCTGAGCTTTCTTTAAATGGCTTAGATATCCCTTGAATTCCCAAGTACTCCCTCCTATTGAGATCTGTTTGACAGTTATGATGTGAATGTATTCTTTATTCAATGAATATAATCTGATCTTATAGAACTAAGCATATTGTTGCAAGTATTGAAATTTGCAGCTTGGGGTCACAACAGGTTTTGCACATGAACTATATCATGATTTACTCATTTAAATTTTTCCAGCTTCATTGTAGATCTAAAGAGTGCTTGATACTATTTGTTAGTCACTGTTGATTTGTCACAAACTATATCATGATTTACCCATATTAATTTTTCCAGCTTCATTGTAGATCTAAAGAGTGCTTGATATTATTTGTTAGTCGCTGTTGATTTTTTGTAGTAGGGTTCTAAAGAAATGGCTATATGTTGCCTGTAATGGTACCGATGGGAATATTAGTATAGATATTATTTAATTTAGTTTCCAATTTTGATGCTTATATTCCTATAATTGTTCAATTGCATCCTACGTCAGGTACTTCTAATTATATTTTTAAATCTTCCAATTCATACTTTCCAGGGAGACTCCAGGCCGTAATATGAGATATACACTTGCTTCTGTGATTTTACGCCTCCTTGGAAGCACTGTTGTGCATGAAGATGCCAATCACATTTTTAATTCTACGTTGACTCCATTGAATTCTACATTGACTCCATTGAAGAGAGGGGTAGAGTCTCTCGTGGGGACTTCTACAGCTTCTGAACTTCCCTCAATGGAAAGTCTTTTTGATGATCTATTATTGGTTTTCCATGCACTGCTGAGCAACTGTCTGCCAAGCTGGCTGAAGCTGAAATCCGATTCCAAATCCATTGAATATGCTGTTTTTGATCGTGAAGTGGCAGAACGCTTTCAGGTCTGTTATCGCCATACCTTCAAATTGTTTTATTTGGAAGTGGGTTGTAAACTAATGCAGTGGAAGTCTACTGTTGTCTTTCCTGCTCAACATCTTTTCAATTTTCTTCTACACTGTGTTATAATTAATTTATACATATTCGTAAATGAAGAAGTTATGCAGCAGCTTGTCTGATTCATATGTATTGGTGCAGAATGATTTGAACCGTATGGAATTGCCCGAGACAATTCGGTGGCGCATCCAAACTGCGATGCCAATTCTTTTTCCCTCTCCCCGGTTGATGAATTCTTGCCAGCCTCCATCGGTATCACCTGCTGCCCTTGCTTTTCTTCAGCCCAGCAATCCAATGACAGCATTAAACCCGCTCAATTCGACTCTCCCTCCAAGGAATCTACCTTTACCATCACGCACAGGCACAAATGTGAAAACCAAGGCACTCCAATTGCAGCATGACTTCGACATGGAGATTGACCCATGGACCCTTTTGGAGGATGGAGCCGGGTCAGGTCAGCCTTCAGTTAACTCTGCTCTTGTTGGCAGCAGTGATCATGCTAATCTGAAGGCATCCAGCTGGCTCAAGGGAGCCGTGAGAGTGAGGAGGACAGACCTCACGTACATTGGGGCAGTAGACGAGGAAAATTGATTTAAACCAAACTTCATTTTTGAAATATTGTCGAGAAAGAGTTGGACCCCTGCAGAAATGTTCGGCTGTGGAAATACCTTGCTAGGGCTGGCCATGTGGCAGCAAAGGATACTGCTGCAAGGTTCATGCTTTGGGGAGCATGTGTTGATGATGTATGGTGAATACAGTGTTTTCTTGCTGCCTCTGCTTGTGGGATCCCCGAGCCCTGCTCTTTCCTAACCGTTGATCAATCCTTGTTTCTGGACCGTGAAATTGGTTGGCGCAGTTCAGAGGTTGTATATATAGAAGAAGTGTTTCCCTTCAATTGAGCTGAGTAGAGTGTACAAGAATGATTTATAGCTTCTTCTTTTTTTTTGTTTTCTCATACTCAGCAATGTTTTACATCCTTAGAAACTGGAGTATTAAGTTATATCTCAGGTGTGAACTCTAGCCTTTTAGATGCACGTTATGCTCTTTCAAAATCAATTTCAAAACCTCAATTGGAATTTTGGGCATGTCTATTTTTGCTTATTGCGTAAACTAATTATGATCATGTTTCAAATAAAAAAAATAATAATAATAAAATGAAAAAAAAATAAAATCAGAGAATTTTCACCCCTTTTTGCAGTGCAATTGACAAATTAACAACGAGAATCTTGAAAATGGCCACTGGAACCCAAGATTGGTTGCCAGTGAGCTCAACCGACTGATGAGATTACTTCTCTCTAGCTGATGCATGAATGCTAGTGCCAGCAATAGAATGCATGGTTTTAGCCCCAGTAGAAGATAAGTGGTTTGAAAACCTGGTTCATCCCTGAAGACGTAAACGGTGAAGTGACCAAATATTGACATTTTAAAGTTGAGGAACCATTTACGAACATAGGTACAAGTTCTGGAACAAAATTGAACCCGAAGTTAAGAGGCTGAGAAACAAGACACAGAAAATTGCACTCATTTACATGAAAATTAGACTTCGGAGTGCCTTTTTTCAACTCGTAAGAAGACAAGGGTCTTATCAGAAAGTGGCTGCTCACAATACGGTACAAATTATGCATGTATTACAAAACTTCCTAATGAAAAATACCTTCAAAAAACCTCTTCAAACCAAAGTCTCACAGTACACATGCTTGATATTTTACAAGACAATATCCATACATCACAGGCACGGGCAATACATTAGGGTGCTAAAGGTTCTCTCTCACTAATAGTGAAATCCTCTTTATTTTCCCATTGGAAGTTTCTTGGATACAACTTCATCGCTAGGTTATTTTCCACATATGTGCAACTAGAAAATCTACTCAAAATCATCAATCCAGTCGCCATAGATTTTGCTAATTTTGTCAGGACCCTTCCACTTCTGATGAATTCTTGGACCGGTTTTCTGTAACACATTGGACAACCTTTGTGATGGAACTCCGATATGGTAACTGTCAGGATGAGGCACCGAAGTGAGGGATGGGACGACAGAATCGGCTGAAGTTTTGGAAGGTATGACCCCTTGCTTGGGATCAGGAGCAGAAGAATCTCTGGCTTCTGTTTCAACTGGCCCTCCACCATAAGAATGTAGTTCTGTTTCAGAAATATATTGAACTCATAATCAATCAACAAACAAAATTCTATAATGATAATTACCATGAGGGGGAAAAAAAATTAGGAACAGTTTAGACAATGATGATGTCATTTGAAGTTATTGAAATTCTTCTCAAATCCTATATTCTTGCCTCCTCTCTTTCATTGAAAATGTTTATGCACCCATCCACATCGCATAACTAGGACCGGTATGTGTGAAGGTAATCTTAATCTTTTTTGTTATTGCTTAAGCCTCAGGCATATTCTCATGAATTTTATTAAAACAATCTGTACTGAACGTCAACCCGGGCTGAGTAAGATATCTAATGCATGTTTCTCATATAATCAGCAAATAATCTTGCATATTAACTATCATTTCGTTAAGCAATTTTCCGAACCTTCTTAATTAACACACCTAAAGGAAAAGACTCATAAGCAGGTAAAGGATCTTAGGCTGTATGCTTCACCGCTAGTTGAACTTCTAACTCCCCATACTATTCCCAGCATTCATTAATTAATTCTCGATTTCCTGTTTCTCGTCCGAGTAACCTATAGAGTTTATATAGAAAAAGAGGGAACAGGAAAATGGATAGGTAAAAGAACCTAGCTCCAAATGCCTAATGATGTCTCTATGTTTTGCCATTCCGTAATTTCTGTTTACAGAAAATTAAAATTACACCAAAAACCGAGCCTCTTTCCCCAGGATGGAGGCTCCTCCAGTGACATCCAAATTAACCCAGCAACCGTCGATTCCTACCGACATGGGCAGCTACGGCGGACCCTCGACTGGAAATCCCACTGGCCTCACGCCACAAAATCCTAGCCTCTCCTACCCACAAGCGGTAGATCCTGTGTACAACCCTGGAGCCGTCGTTCCCCTATACAGAAGTGACGCCGGCGCGCCGGCGATTGGCGACAAGGGAGCCCAAGTCAACGCCATTCCTGCCAATGGCCAACTGGATCTACAGATTGCAAAGTTAAACGGGCATATTCCATCTACCTGTCCTCTAGCGACCTTCCAGCCACACACGCATGCCAGGCCGCATTGCAGGCCTTTCCGAAGCCGGCAAGGCAGTGGCACCGACCACGCGCCACCTCCGACGAGGTAGGCGATTCCTCCAGCTACAACCAAAAATCCCAATATCCAATTTTGTCATCTGATGCATCGTTTGCACAAGAGCAAGGGAAACAGTATCATGTTAATGGTATGGTGTACAATTCTCGATTCAGAACTGAGGCAAAAGAGTTTGTAGTGTCTGTCTACGAATCAAACATTGTTAAGCTATCGGAATGGGGAGCGAAGATTTCAGATGCCATTTGCATTGGGAGGTTTGGAGCCGTTTAGATGGTGAATTTGGTGGAGAAGGTGAGGGAAGCGAAGAAGTCAGAGGATTTAGTTATGGAGTTCAATGAGTCCTCTTTAGCATTCTTGGCACAACGTTGTGCAAACAGTCGTGGTAAGTAACGGATGAAAGCACAATATAGAGAGAGACGTCGAAGAGGAATGATGATTGAGCCAGAAGGGGTGAATGGAGAGGGATGGGCCTCGATCTCACGTGTGTTTCAAGCGGTTATCAACTCTTTTGTTGTCAATGACAAGGTTAAGCATCGAACAGCCGAAGAAGGGAGCAAACAAGGGATGACTTACACCGGAGTTATAGCAAATGCACAAGCCTCACGAAATGCAAATCAGCAGGTACTGGTGCATAAGGGAAGGGCGGTTAAGAAGAGCAGCAATCCACGCGAGCAAATCTCGGGACCTAATAAGGAAGGACATATAGAGGTGCATGAGTCAAAGGAAACAACTACAGAAGACATAATTGACAATTCATTGTATAGACCTAAAATTAGGGCTCATTTCTTGGCATTGAAAGGAGAACTTATTGAATTAATTAAGTTAATGGATAGCGAGTTTGCAGTGGGCTCCAGGAAGATCTACTGTCATAAGTGTGGGGAGGACTTGGATGAGTGCCCGACGAATGGTAGAGGTTGTAAACTTGGGTTCCAAGGAGCTGACATCGAATTGGACCGACAATAAAGAGTTGTTGGTCGAGCCAAGTGGCGAACCCCAGAAGCAGGCTAGAGCGGTGGAGGTGGAACTTTGGGCTGAGAAAAGGGAGATGAATAAGTTAACGTTGGAGTTAGCAGTACTGGATGCAACAAAAGACAAGGGTTTCACAACCATAGCTGCATTCAACACGAGGCCAATAGAGGGATTAGCGTCGGCGAAGGAGCAAGAGACCGAGTTCTATTGGCAGAAAATCCAGCTAAAGGAGTTGAGGAACAGCAAGGGGCGAAAGGGTCAGCAACTATGGTTGTGACACTTACCGTAGGTATTTCCAGGTCTGCAAAAGAGAGGGACTTGGGGACTGATAAAGCTTTGGTGGTATGGGTTGATAGTGCTAAGGAAGATATGGATAGCGGTGTAGTACAAGTGGATGAAGAGGAGGGACAACATTATGACCCTCTATTTGTCGGGGAGATGGTGGAAGTTAGTGCGCTTAAAATTAGACCTCTGCTGTCTAGCTGGGTTCTTCAAAAAATTCTGAACTTCAGTAAAATGGTGGGTGTGTCCTGTGATGGATATGAAATTAGGCTAATGCAATTATTTGAGGAATTGGAGGCTAGTAGAGGACAAGGGATGGATACGCCGGGTGGGAAGACAAGAAAATGTAATCGTGAACTCAATAGGCTCGAATGCTCGATTAATTACGACGTTAAGGGTGGCGATTCAAGGAGAGAGTTGATAGGAAGGGATGGCGGAGTGTTAAGATGATCCCAAAAAATAATTAGCTAAAACGTGAGGGGGCTTAATGAAGCTGAAAAAAGTTAGGTATCCGAAATTTGTTAAGGGGATGGAGGGCTGACCTTGTATGCTTACAAGAAACAAAGTTGGAGGTCGTTTCTAGGGCTATCGTGAGCAGTCTATTGGGGAGACAACATGTGGGGTCATCGAGGGCTTCAAAGAGGTTTGTTAGTCATGAGGGATACTAAGGTTTTTAATAAGGAGGAGGTGAGGGAAGGGCTATTTTCTCTATTGCTCTTGTTCATAAATATTGGGGATAACTTCCGTGGGATGTTTATAGGAGTTTATGGGCCTAATAATGATGAGAGCAGAAGTGGATTATGGGATGAGTTGGTTGGTACGATGACTTGGTGAGACCTTCCTACGTGTATTGGGGGAGATTTTAATGTGGTTCGATTTCCTACTGAGATATCTAGTGATGGGAGATTAACAGGGACAACGGAGGATTTCTCAAATTTTATTAGGGAAAATATGTTGGTAGATGCATTTGATTCGAGGAAACTATACTTGGTAATCTAATCGAGATCAACCTACTTTATCTTGAATAGATCGATTTTTTATTAGTGGGGAGTAGAAGGCCAAATATCCGAAGGTTACTAAGATGAGATTGGGGAGGGTGTACTCTGATCATTTCCCTATCTTGTTATCAGGGAATATGAGGTGTAGTGGAAGTAAACCTTTTAGATTTGAGAAGATGTGGCTAAAAGTAGAAGACTTTGGGGAGCAAGTACGAGAGTGGTCGGCATCTTATGAATTCAGGGGGTCATCCAGTTATGTGTTTTATCAAAAATTGAAAGCCTTGAAAATGGATATAAAGAGGTAGAATGATGAGATGGTGGGAGATGTTAATTGATGTAAAAATCAATACATTCTAAAAATAGAAGAATCGGATAGGCGGAAGGATATTCAAGGGTTGGTTTGGGAGGAGAGGGAGAGACGTGGAGTGTTAAGGAAAGAGTTGGAGAAACTAGTGGAGATGGAGGAGATTGCCTAACGCCAGAAATCTAGGGTCGCATGGCTGAAAGAGAGGGATAAATGCACCAAGTTTTTCCATAGAGTCGCTAATTCTAATAGGCACAACTCCTCTATCACATTGTCGGAGGTTGATGGAATTACTTATGAGGACCCGCATGATAGTGA